TTGGTATTTTATTATCAGTTATTAATTATTATTTAATTAAAAATATTCTTAATTTTTAAGAATTAGATATATTTTAATAATAAAAAATAACAAATTTAAATTTTAATTTTAGTAAAAAAAATATCCTTTTAAAATTTAGAATAACTATTTTAATTTTGTAAAATAAATAAATTTTGATTTTGATCATATAATTTTTTTAAAAAAAAATTCTCTAAGATTCGAAGACATTCTTGTATCTTAATATTCATTTCAATATTAATAAATAATATTTTCTTCTTCGTAAATAACATTTATTTTAATAATTCATAAAAAAAATTAAAAGAACATAATAACATGATATGACAAATAATTATGGATATTATTATATAAGATAATCAATTAACCTTATAATAAAATATAAGAAATTAACAGATATATAATAATAATAATATTATAGACTAAAAATAATAATTCTAAATTTTAGAAAAATAAAAAAATTACAAAAACTAAAATTAAAGTTCATTCATTTTTTACTAAAAGTAAAAATATATTGAAAGTTTAATTATGTTTTTACTCCCTTAAATTTAAGATATATGATTTTTTAGTTTTTAAAATTTAAAATTTATATTTTTAGTCCTCAAAATATAAAAAAAATATTATTTTAATTTATCAATTCAATTTTACAACATATCAATTTTACAACATATGTTTTTAATCCCAAAATATATATAAAAAATTATTATTTTAGTCCTCTATTCAAATGTTAATAATTAATGTATTGCATATAATTCTTTTATTAGTTTCATTATCATTAAAATAATTATATTAGATAAACTAATATTGCAAAATTGTCACGGTCAATTATGTCATTATTAATGTCATTGTTAGTAACAATATTATATTAAATTAACTAATACTGCAAAATTATATTAATTTGTTATTGTTAATTATATTATCGGTAATCACTAAGAACTAAAATAATATTTTTTAAATTATAAAAACTTAAATGACAAATTTTAAATTTAAAAAACTAAAAATTTGAGGATCAAAATAATAATTTTTTTATATTTTAAAGACTAAAAACACATGTATTAAGTTTGAAGGACCAGAAAAAAATATATTGATGTTAAAATAATATTTTTTTTAAAATTACATGAACTAAAATCATAAAATTTTAAATTTGAGGATAAAAAATAATTATACTAAATTTAGAGGATAAAAGCATAATTAAGTTGAAATTATTTTTTAATCTACGATTAAATTTATTCTATTAATATAATTATAAGTTTATAATGAAATAGTACTAGGAGTATTTGTAATCATCGGTGAAATACTCGTCATTCATTAATTAAATCAATTTACTTTTATTTTTTGAAATACAATATTTTGAATGCATTTTAATTTTATTAAAAAAATATTTAATAATTAAGTTAACATTCTTATCATTTTTAAATTTATATTCTAAATATTTTATTTATATCCTATTTTCCATATAATTCACAACTATTTTTAATTATTTTATACAAATTTTAAAGGTTGAGAAATTATCCTAATGTTTAATGTCTAATTTTTAAGCATTAGTCATATGAACGCAGATTAATTATTAGTCGTTAATTTTGACTAATTTAATCATATTTATTGATAAAAAAAATAAAGTTACTAAAAAAACAAAATAATACTATGAATTAAAAATAATAATAATAATAAATACGTCTACATTCATTGAATCTGGCAATCTGCATTCTGGAGACGGTCAAGTCCTAATGAGAATTGAGTTTTTGTTTCTTTTAGAACCACTGGTGGATGGCCACGTGGCTACTGTTACTTGAGTTTCTCTTCTTCTATCATTAATTTACTATTTTATTTATCAATTATATCAATCACTGACCTTTTTTAATCATCCACTTGCTCATGTTATTTTTTATCACATTTCCGTACGAAGATATTATATTTTAGGTTTAATTACATTTTTAATCCCTCAAGTATTGTAATTGTGTAATTTTGATCCTAAAATTTTAATTGGATAATTTTAGTTCCTAAAAAATTACAATTGTGTAATTTTAGTCCTTCAATTTTTAATTAAACAGTTTTAGTCCCTCAAATATCATAATTGTGCGATTTTAATCTCTCTCATTAAAAATTTAATAATTTTAAAATTTTAATATATATATATATATATATATAATATTTTAAAATTAAACAATTATTTGCTTATTTAAGTTAACGTATATTATAGTTTTTATTAATGTAACAAATGATATATATTTAGTATTACTAAATAAATAAAATTTATATATTATTAATAATTTAATATTGCTAATAAATTAATATCAATAATATTTTTAGTATATTTATAGATAAACTGATAATTTGATAAATATAACTTAGTATATAGTAATATATTTTTACAAAAATATAAATATATTAGATAAGATATGTATATTTCTAATTAATATACTTATATTTTTGTAAAAGTATAGTAATATATAATAAGTTATATTTATCAAATTATTAGTTTATCTATAAATATATTAATAATATTACAGAACCTTAATCTGGCGCCTTAGACCAACTCGGCCATCTCAACATTTATTAAGAATGTCTGAAAAATTGTAATTGATACAATTAAATAAAAGAAATATAGAAAAAATTAAAGACAGTGTTGAGAGTGGGATTTGAACCCACGCCCTTTCGGACCAGAACCTTAATCTGGCGCCTTAGACCCACTCGGCCATCTCAACCTTAACGACAAGGGTGACAAAAAATACCATTGAAATATTAATGAGAGTTATTCAAATGTTACCCATACAAAGGTGTGAATTTCCAGAATTATATCAAATTTAAAATAAATTATTCTCTATATAATTGTGTATATATATATATATAAATATATATATATATATATATATATAAATTTAAATTATTAAATTTTTAATGAAAGAGATTAAAATTGCACAATTACAATATTTGAAGGATAAAAATACAATTAAGCCTATATTTTACAAGAGATGATTTTCCAAATAAAAATAAGTATGATTCTTCCTTTTTATTTTAAGTTTGACTCATGTTTTATCTTTATGAGGTAAAGTGATGATCATCATTTAAATGTTCAGCAATTTAAATTGATTGATATTATATGAGTCTAATTCAGTTGATTAATAGGATGTGTGAGTTGGCATTAATTTTTTTTTAGCACTGAGTTTAATTTCTATATAAAATTTGATTTATATTTAAGATTTTGAAATCCTTTAAAAGAAAATTAAATAAAACACCCCACATTAACTAAATTTAAGAATTTCAATCATTGAATTCAAAGATTTAACAAACTAGACTAAATTTATAAAATTTCATGAAAATAAAAAAAACTAATTAATTAATATTTTATCACATTGTTTTTTATTTTATTTTATTTTATAGATTTTATAACATTTAATGTATTTTATTAGAAATAATTTTTTTAAAAAAATATAGCAATTGAATTAATTAACTTTATATTTTTACGAAGACTATTAAGTAGATAAATGCAAAAACTTGACATTTAATACTAATTAATCTTATATGTTTATGTATTAGTAGTATATTGTAATTAAATTTTATATATGCTAGTATTTTAACATGATAAATATTTATTTTAGATAACTAAAATTTATAATGAATATTTTTTAACATGCAATTATTTTAAAATTTAACATTTAAAATGATATTTTATATTCTGATGTACAAAGTTATTTTAATTATTGGTAGTTTATTTTAAAAAATATTAAAATTTAATTTGAAATATATAATAAGTTAAGAAATTTTTTTTTAAAAGTTTCTTGTTCAAGATAATTATTCTAACATATATTTAAAAGTTTAAATTACGTAAGTTTTAATATACATAATTATATGTGTAACATTACATAATTCAATTTAAATTGATAAATTCAATAATTTTGTATAAAATATAAATTTAATTAATCTAACCATTATATTTAATATTTTTATTAATTAAATATATAAAATTTCATACAATTGTAAATTATTTAATAGTCTATTATAATATTTTATAACATGTAATATGATATTTAAAATATAAATACACATGATTAAATAACATGTATTGAAAAGTCTAAATTAATTTACTGAATTTTAATATATGATATGAGTGTAATATAACACAATTTAATAAGAAAATTTATTAAATTTATATACTATAAAAATGATTAAAAATATAAATTTACTAATTACGACACTTAAATAACTTTTTTGATCGACTAGAAGTAGTTTATCAACAAATGATTGGACCTTGAAGTTATCTTTCCGTATTATATGCATCAAGACATTTGATTACGGCAAACACTATGTCATGTATTTTAATTATTTGTTGTTTATTATTAAAATATTTATCCTAATTGTGCCCTTGACAAATTAAAGGAGATGCTAAAGTGGATCAGAACAGAAAATTCACAGCAAAAATAGTATTAAAAAAATAGAAAATTTCGGGCATGTTTGATTATATTCTCATTTTTTATTATTAAAAACTGTTTTCTAAGATAATTTCACACTATTCAATAATTAATATCTCATTCAAAATTTTCAAACTTTTAAAAGATATTTTCAAAATAGGTTTTTTAAAAACCGAAAAATAGAAACAACTGAGAAATGTTTTCTCATATTCTCCTTCTGTTTTCATCTTTTTCACTCTCTCCCTCAATTCTACATTATGTTTTATGTCTTATACACCAATTGTGTGTTCAAATTTGTTCACTTGGATTTTGAAAAAAATTAATTTTTGTGGAGAAATTAAACGCATCCCTTATATCATTGGCCAGAGAAAAATATGTATATAAAAAATGAGCATTGATATATTTCATTTTATTAATTATGTAAAAAAAAAAAAAGAATTAGTAGTAACGCAGATTCCATATGGCAAGTCCATTTGATGAAGGTGCACAAGAAATAATATGAAACGATATAGAGTTAAACGATGGAAACAAAATATATACTGAAAACTGAAAATCAGAAGTAAATTTGAATCATACCATCATGTTTGGAGCTTCGTTTAATTCCTCCCATCTCAGTGATCTCAACAATATGAATGTTTCTGAATTTGGAGCTCAACATGCTTCAATCCGCAGATGTTCTTCCAAGAAATGAATCATTCTATGCAAAAAGGCAGAACAAGACTTGAAGTTTCGAGATAAGGATAATAGAGGGTTTATGACATGTGTGCTTATTTATGGACATTGAAATCGAAACCTCCTATAACAACAAATACTCTATCAATAAAAAATTATCAAAATGATCATTTTCGGTTTATAGAAAACAAAAGTAAAATCCTTATCAATCAGAAGAGGAATACAAATATATATATTGAAAAATTCATTGGTTTCCCGTATACGGAATATTTAAAACTCTCATGGTCAGAATTAATAAATAAAATATGATTTTGCCTGGTTACAAATGAACTAGTTCCCAATATTAAGCAAAGTTCATCAGATTCTGATTCTTAAATTAGACATGAATGGAATATTCAAAGTCGATCGGCTTTTGGAAATACGTTGTTGATTTTTTCTGCGATGTTTCTTTTGTATATCTATATCTATTTATTTTACCTTGTAATTTCATTCATAATTTATAATAATGACAATTTTTATTGTTGGAGTCCACGATGTTGAGGGAAGGCAAGACAACTATTCCAACCAAAGAAACTGAAAGAGAGAGGACCAAGATAGGGTACCTTCTAAATAGGGAAAGAGACAAAGGGAAATGGTGCCAATTGGAATATTCTAGTCTGTCTCATGAGACTTGCTCCCAAAGTAACAACCAAATACTAATTATCCTGTCTCGATCCTAAATATCACTGCTTCCCTATAAAAATTTGTTCATCAATAACAATTATAACATCACGAATAAGATCAGTGTCTAGATTAATGAAGTAGGAGATAGCGTGGTAGAAGAAAAAAAAATCACTATTGATTTAAAAATCCAAATCCCTACATTTGAACTAGTGGGTTGAAGTAATTTGCTGCCACCTTACAACGTTTGAGCAAACGAAAGAGAGACTCTCCTGAATTGGCCCAATCATCGTTTCAAACTCACTTCATCTTCACACTTAACCCATATTCATTGGGTCTCAACCATTTGGTTGGGTCCATTTCTCATTCGATCATTTCTAAACAGTCTTAATTAGTACTTGTGAACAACTAATGTAGTAACTTCTTATTTTATTCTCTTAATATGAGATGTCGTTTTATCGTTAATTTCTATTTTACTATCATGTGAATTCCTAATAATGTTAATTAATTTTGTGATATTATCGTTAATATTCATATTTTAAGAAAAGCAACATTCACTTTATCCAAAAGAAAGATATATAATTTAAGAGCATTCACACTCATTATTTTTCCTACAAAATTTATATGTAAATCAATTGCCCGATATACGTGCCTTGGTGCATATTAATGTCATAATTAAGCTTAAAACGTATAGAATATTTTATCCAATAAACAAAATTGTTCTTGGTGAATAAATATGTCACCTAATTTTCATCAATAACTACATTCAACGGAAATGGAAATTTAAAGATAAGAAGTGAGGCACCAACGCCATGATCTTACAAGGGATTCAATATGAAAGAAATTGCAAATAGGAAGTGAAGGGCTAGATATCAATAATTGTTTTTGAACTTCACAATCACTAACTGCCTAGTCACATTCCTTAATTTTATTCTAAGATAACCACTACTAGGTCAAATTTCAGAGGCAAAGGCAAAATACAAATTTCCACCATGTTTAGTCTAGTTCTATTGCTAAATGCTAACAATCAAGGTACTGATCTTAACAATTCCAGAACTCAGCTCTCTTCACCTTTGAAATGCTATTAAGGACTCCCATGGGAGAAATGTGTCCCATCACTGTCACCCTCTTCGACTCTACATCCACACTGAATGATGTAACACCTGAGATCATATGTTAAAAAAAAAAAAAAAACAAGTTACAAATTCAGATTAATATCTTTATGCATGTATACACAAACTTTGTATGGTATTGTTGACTAGATTACCTTCCATCTTAGACAGATGCTTTTTCACTTTACCAGCACATCCTTGACAATGAATAGCAACCCGCATCACAACCACCTGCATGTAACCCCTTCAAAATTAGTGCAAGTAAAATGCAAAAACATGAAGTAGTATAACCTTTTTCTCCCACTCAAAATATTTGTTCCAATTATTATGTCCATCAATTCTTAACATGTTAACATGATATTTCAAAATAATTCAACGTTTGATAGTGGTCGGAGAGTTGAGCAAATGTATACGAGGACTTAAATTTGATCCTCCACATGATTAATTTTTTTTAATGGATGAATATTAATTTTACAAATGTGGAAGAGAAACGGTGTATAAAGGAAATGTTTGGATGGTAAAATATTGTTTGCATCTGACGTATGTATGAGAAAGTGTATAGTAATATAACCTGGAACTGGAAGACATTATCTGTTGGCGTTTTCTGAAGTTCCTTTGATTCATTCTCTTGATGCTTGATGTTTGGTAGAGAGAGAGAGGCAGATTTCTTGTGAGCTGAATTGAACCTTGTAGGTTTAACAAGTTTGGAGTACTTGGCATAGTTGATCAACCTTGTATCATCCAAAGAAACACTTCTTTCATGACTCCTAGTCTTAGTCCTTGGCACAACCACAGACCCAAGATCGATGCTACAAGTGCACACTGCTGTTGATGCTCGAGAGTGGCACATGAAACCATTCATCATTCCTCTCTTACTGCTTTTCAGGCTCATCATGGTGAAACAACTTTAAGGGGGAAGTTAAGGCCTAGGGATTATAGTGTTCTAACACAACACATGGTCTTCAAAGTGGGAGAAATACTAAGTGAGTGTAGAATAGAAGAGATATCGTACTGTCATTATGACTTGGCTAACAAATAACAAAGCGTTCACTGGCAGTAGGGAATCATTTTTGGCCTTTTATCTATTATGCATATGTCTTTGATCTTAACGTGTCCAAAATCCTGTCCTTTTCAGTTGTTAATGCTCAGAAATTGACATTAACCCTTTTTGCTATTATGAATTCAAAGTACATGCTGGACAAAAGCAGATTAAAACAGGATCAACATGGATTTTCTTGTTTTATTCTTCTAACCAAAATATTTTTTATTTTTATTTTTTGGATCCTTAAGTGGAGAAATTATTAGACAATGTAGACCATGTAAAATTTCTCTTATTGCACTAGACTTGGGCTGTGTGGATATTAAAACTAGAAAGGCTTTTTTCTTCTTTTTTTTCTGTCCACTCCTTAATTTTGCCCTTAGCTAGCCAGCTAAGAGTTATGAGAGTGAGAAAAATACAAAGGAGAACCTCGTCAGTGTCCTCGACAATAATGGGGGGTAAGCTGAAGAAGTAGGACACCCTTTGTTAGAAGGGTAGTGGATATGGACGTTTTCTCTTGTCTTCTGCAAAAAGGTTATAACCACTAGCACTAAGCATGAGGGTTAGGCAACACATAGTGGGAAAGCTGAAAATGTAGTTGGACAGCGATGCATCAAAGGTATTTAGTTCACGTACATAAATGGTTAAAACTTAAAACCAGTGAGAGGAGATGCAGAGCAGTGTTTCATTTGTTGAGTCTAAAATCAAGAGGGTCACAGCTGGTAGATAACTGAGTTATTTAAATATACTAACAGGGATTCAATTATGTCACCGTGAGAATAGAGAAAACTTTGTTAAGCAAAAGTCTTGAGTCTTAAACTTACAGTTTCAACAGAAACTAATGCTCTCCCTACTGTTTAACATATTTCTTTGTAACATTTTATTATTTGTCGAAATTATATGAATCTATAAAATCACAAAAAGTTTATTAAATATAAAGTACAACTTATAAAATTTAATGTTTCAGCTAATAATAAAGAAGAACCACATCTTGCTTGCAATAATGGAACTGTAATTTAATCTGGTAGTATATGGCATTGGGTGATGCATTGCATGTAGTTTACATTTAAGAGATAATCATTTTTTTTTTTTTGGAAAAGACTTTTTCAAGAGAAACAAAAGTAAAAGTAACTTTGTAATCTCTATTATTAAAAAAAAGTAATTTTTGATTATCAGTTAAAAAATGTTAAAGCTTGGTTGTAAGGACAATTGCTTAATTAGGATCGTTATCAAGAGAGACCAATTATTATTATTTTTTAAAATTATACAATTGTGCTATAATTTTATATTATTTTTAAAAGTAAATTGAAATTATCATCTTTTATATATTTCTGTTTTTATATTTAAATAATATCTTGTTGTCTTTATTGTTAATTTTTTTATGTATTATATTTATAAAATTATAAATTATATTTTTATCCTTTGAAAACTTTTCAAGTTTGATTCCAAATTTTTAATTTATTTGTTTTATTTTTATCCTTTTAATTTGGAGATGCATTACTTTTAATCCTTAAAATTATTTATTATATTTTATAATAAATTATTATATAAAAGTAAATTGAATAAAAACATATTAGTATATTATTAACATTGTTATTTTTTCAATGTAATAAAATATATTGTACTCGATTAAAAGTTTAATATATTATTTGGTCTATTAAGTTTTTGAAAATTTTAATTAGATCTCAAAACTAAAAACTTTGTAATCGAGTCTTTGATTTTTTTCTCTCGTAATTTTATCCATAGGACTAGAGATCTATTTACATGACATTTTTTTATATCTTTATATTCATAAAGTCACCTCAAATTATTATCATACATAATTGTACATGTTTAACGGATTTTAATCTATTTATAAAAATTTTCATAGTTTCTTTAATCATAATAATTCTTGCATAATAGGAAATTTTGACCAATGAAATTTTAAACCTAATACAAATAAATGATGATATTGAATGATAATCTAATATAGTTGTGTGAGAACAAGAAAATAAAAAATACTATGTCAAATTAAATATCATGAATTATAAAATCATAGAGACTAATATAAAAATATGAAATACCACATTATTATTATTTTAATTTAAGGCCTAATTAAAAATTTTTTAAAAAAATATAAATCAAATAATATATTAAGTCTCAATTAAATCATGTATATATTTTTATATTATAAATATTTATATTTTAAATATTATTATTTATATATAAAGGCCAAAACTTATTATTTTGTTCAAACTCATAAAATGTCAAGATCGACTGTGAATATCTTTATTATATAAAAAAAAAAAAAAAAATGGTCTCCTTTTAATTTTCTTCCTTAAGGACAACAAATGTCCTTGTCTTTTCCAACCCCATCTTCCCAAAACAAAAAACAACTTGTGAAAAGTTATATACAGGCATAGAATAGTACGCATAGCACCAAATTATAGTAGAATCAAATTACTAAACCTACTCTACACTATGATTATGCAATAATAAAATAAAGCTATGTTTACTCTAACAGTACTATTATATGCAATAATAATATATAATAGATGCAATGATGCATTGAAGAAAATATGGCAGGATTAATATGCATTATGAAGCAGTAGCTACGAAATTAAATTAAATATAATGATAAGAACCCCACCAAAGCAAGCGGATATGAGTCATCGAAACCTACCAAAATGATGATTGTGTGAATTTGTACTAAGCTAGGACATTACTTTGGCTGAGAGATGCCATGTGACATCATTTAAGTGGGTTCAGTCTTTTAATTCCTTCCTCAGTTCTATCCTGATTTCAGCAGCAAAATATGACATTCAAGGACCACCACTAATATATAGTGTAGCTCTTCTGCAGTTCTACAAAACCTTAGCACTAGCTGATGTGTTCAACCCTTCCATTCAAAGTACATTGCTAAAATTAAATGCAGAACTTTACAAACTTCAAATGAAATTATAGATTGTGCAGTTTAAAACTTTAAATAGATCAAATTTAATTATACACCTCTCTCCTACTTTTGAACTTTGACTGGTATGCAAAGCTCTTAAAGAGGTATAAACGTGATGTGAAAAATCCATTTTTTTAGTTTAATATGTTCTTAGTCCATGCAATCTAAGAGTTCCTGTTTTGGTCCTTAACACTTTTAAATTGATAGTTTTTAGTTCTTGTCATTAGTCTCTATTTATTTGGTGATGAAGTGACTAACTGAAGATCAACTCACTTATGCAGTTATGCCATTTAATTTTTCAAATCAGATTTCATTATCTGTATCAAACTACCAGTTATCCTCAATCACATTTCAGGAAAATTGCGGTTCTATACATGCAATGCAATTATTGTTAGGATGAACAATAATTGACAGAACTGAATGAGTTGAACTGTAATATCAGTGACATACGCAGACCTAGGATGACTTTTAATGCGCTGCTATTGCCAGAAACTTGATAATTTGATTTTGAAGCCTTATTACTTGAATCTCAATTTATAATTCATTATGCAAGCAATCTCCAAGAAACAAATACTCGAATTTCAAATTCTTTATAAATTATCCATCTAAACAAAACATTTTACACCAAATTGTTTAAAATTCTTCAAAAAAAACCAAGTTAATCCTTTAAAATCTCCCATATCTAAGCACTCTTAAGGTTTTTTAATCTTTGAACAGCCTTATTATGACTATGTACCATCTTATAGTGCACTGTGTGGCTTTTGGCTCTATACAACAGCTACAGATAACCATGGTCTGCACTGGTTTTGCAATCTCATATTGGATTTTCTGATTTTCTCGGTTTAATTAGTTTGCCTAGTGTATAGTCACTATATACCATGGTAATGATTTATTATAATGCAATCTTATGGGTTTTGTATTAATCTATTATTACCAAAATATCCGGTTGTGATTAATCAGTTATGGGCGAACTTTGACATTTCATAATGCTACACAATTTGGCCACGCCAGATATACAAAAGGGAGATGATAAACACACCTCCACTCTAGTATAAACACACCCCTTTTTTAAAAAAAATATAAAAAAATGTCTAAATTACCCTTAAAAAAAATAAAATTTTTAAATTTACACCCCTTCCCCTTCCCCGCACCCCCTTCCCCGCACCCCACACTCCCCTTCCCCCACAATATTACTTCTCACCTAACCTTCTCTTCCTCCGCCCGCCATGACCTTCCACAAGATCACCGTCGCCAACCCCATCGTCGAGATGGACGGTCCGTTTCTTCCCTCTCCGATCTGATCTCTTCTCCTTCCATTTCTTCACTTTCTTATTACTTTTTTTCTTTCACATTTCATCTCTTATCATTTCTCTAATTTTTATCTTTCTGTTTGTTGTGTCTTGTCTCTTGATTTCCTCCAATCAGATATTTTTCTCATCATATTATTATTTGGTGGACCACTCTCTTTCCTTCATTATTCCAAACGTTACGCCGTAATAGATTTTTTTTTTCTTCCACTCATTTATTTCTATTTTCCTTCGTGTGCGTTTGTTGAGGTCTCAGTCTCGGGACTTCGAATTATTTTTAGTTGTTATTATTGCATGCATTTGATCTGTTTTCTTCTTGTGAAAAATAGTGCGTGGTGGAGTTTTGTTCATTTTTTTTGTTTTTGAAAACGTTGACATGAATTTTTGATGAAAGAAACAAAATCAAATTATGGAAAATAAAGAGTAGGCTTTATATTGTGCTGTTCCCAGGAAACGCATTATCATCGGATTTACCGAAGTAGTGAACATTGATGGGAAATGATTTTTGGAAAAGTAGATGCGATGACAGCTGTAGCTTGTTTGTATTGGAGTAATGATATTCATCCACTCAAAATTGGGAGTGGAAATAACAGACAGAGAGAAAGGAGAGAGGGTAGAGAGAGAAAGTAATAGAACCTGTGATTGATGTGATAGAAAAAGAAGAGATATTGGAAAAAAGGGGTAGAAGTGAGATCGAAGAGAGAAGAAAGTAGGGGTATGATGAGGATCTATTTTCCTTAACGAGGTTGCGGGGTGCGGGGAAGGCGAAGGGAAAGGGAAAGGGAAAGGGAAAGGGAAAGGGGAAGGGGAAGGGGGTCGGGGTGCGGGGATGGGGAAGGGGAAGGAAAAGGGGTGTAAATTTAGAAATTTTTTTTTTTTTTAAGGGTAATTTAGATATTTTATATATATTTTTTTAAAAAGGAGGGGTGTTTATATGAGAGTGGAGGTGTGTTTATCATCTGCCTATACAAAATTAAGTGTAAGAGACTGAGCCCAAAGGACACCGACCCACTAAACAGTTGGAAAGTGAAGCCCGTGGACAGATTTACGTCCAATAGACTGACTTGGGCCAACAGTTAGAACTTGGTCCTATCCAACAAAGACCATCATCACAACGATCATTAGAGAGAGAGAGAATGTATGAGCCAACACTCTTACAAGCCATTGACGTATTTGATAGTTTTTTTTTTTAATGTTATTTAAGAGTTATTCCTAAACAAGATATTGGATTTGAATCTTGTTTATAGAAAAAAAAATTTTAAATATTTTATACTAATGACATATTTGTTATTAAATAACATTATCATATATTTATATAACTACAAAGATGTAATAATTATATTATAAGTGTAGTTCTTACGGGAATCCTCTTATAACTAGAAGTAGTTAACACTCAGTTTTGACATTTTGCTTTATTAATTTAATGCATAGATTCATAAAACTGATAGAACTATAGCATTAGTTTTCCTGGAGATAGAGAAGGTATTTGAGTCTCTGTGAGGCTTCAATGACGGAATCTCTCTGACCGAAAGCACTAATTCTTATATACTCTTCACCACCTGGACCAAAACCACTGCCAGGGACAGTAATTATGTGTGTCTTCTCAAGAATTTCAGCAAAAACATTCCAAGATTTTGAACCAGGAAAATGGACCCAAACATAGGGTGCATTTTTACCACCGTACACTGTCAGACCAAGAGAAGTCAAAGCATCAACCAGTATCCTTGCATTCTCCATGTAGTAGTCAACAAGAGACCGCACAGCCTGAGAATTTTTCAACAACATGCAACAATCACACCGATGGCAAAGCAATTTCATACAATGCAATATTTTGAAATAAATCTAGGAACTATATTTTCAAGAGTAAATTATGCTAACATCATATAATGTTTCGTTAAGATTGCAAGTAACTCTGGTGCTTTTAACATTTATAGCAGCATCCTTTATAGGGAAACATCCAATAATGTTTTTCAAACAATTAAATGAGTTAATGTGATATCTAAGGAGTGTCGGTATATGTTTTTCAAACAATTAAAAGGAGTTGGTGCAGGACTAGAAAAAGTAGAGGATATATATGCAATCTCACAAAACTTGAGGGTGTTAGTATAATTTACGATAGTTTAAATGAAACATAATATCAAGAATTTTGACCAGTCATACAGATTCTTAGGAACTAGAACTTTACCCTTAAACCCTCTAGTGAAAGGCATGCTAGTCCACCAGCTTGAACAATGTTGGATGCTCCATTAAAACATGTGCACATTATGCGGTTGAAATCATGCACAACAGGGAAGCCATTTGAATATAAGAGTTCTTCAGGAACCACTGTCCAACCAAGGCGTACACCTGTGAAGCCAGCAAATTTCGAAAAGGATGACACTTCAATTGCAACCTGAAAGCACAAGGAAAGAAAGAGATTTAAAGTTAAACTTACAAGATAAAAGCGCTTTTAAAACTTCTCTATTGGAAATAAAAAGCATTTTTAAGTAGAAAAACTCTTTAAAAAGTTTCTAAACTTATATCCAAACAGGTTTTAAGTTGCCACTATGGACAATAATATATGCTAGAAATTAACTAAAACAAATGTCATGCAAAAACAATGTTGCATGTGTCACTAGGAAAAATATTTACAATTTCCCTTCATAAAAGGCCAGAAATGAACATTGACAAAATAAAATAACTAGTTTTAGGGGAGGGGGAATTCTGCAAACAGGTCACAAACTTTTGTTTAGAACAGCTATGAAAATTTGGAAAACTGTTTAGCTGCTAGGAGTTAAAAATGTAAGTGACATTAGATCGGATAAACTTCTTCATAGATACTTGAAAGGGAAAAAAAACTCAACTTTAAGAGAAGTTAAATGAAAATAGCTTCTATGAAAGTTAAGTACTCGTGGAGAAGAAGTTTATTAAAAATGCCCTTAAAAAGAAGATTTAAAGGTGGAACTAAATGATTCATATAAATTTTGATGCTCCAGTCATGAGTCATGATCGAAAGAATAGTTCTAGAAGATGTTAGTGAAAACAACATAAAACAAAACGGGACTTGGCTAGATAAACGAGCCAAGCATACCTCTCTGGCTCCAGGAATTTCATAGATTGATTTAGGACTATCATCAGTTATATATGCTGAATATGCAGAGTCAAAAATAATGATTGATCCATTCACTTTGGCAAAATCCACAAGCTGCTCTAATTGCTTCCTTGTTGCTGCATGACCCGTGGGATTGTTTGGAGAATTAAAGAAAATAAGTTGTGTCCTTGAAATGGTAGGCAGATCAGGAAAAAAGTCACTCTGAGGCCCACATGTCATGTATTCTATGTTTTTATACTTTCCAGTTTCATCCACAAACTTGCCAGATTGACCAATAATGACACTCGAGTCTATGTAGGCCTGCCTAAGAACAATTTGCAATGATTAAAAACACTTTTTGTAATTCGATGACATGATTCATGCATTAAGTCTAAGAGGACATTTAAACAAGTTGCATATTATAGTGAAAACATAGAATAAGCAAGTTCATGCAATTCAAATGCAATCAAGGAATTAGAACAATATTGCCAACAAATATTGATTAGATAGATGAATGACACAATAATTAATTACAATACCGGAAAGGATGGATCCTGCACAGCTATCTTCTGATTGAGACCCATAAGCAGCTACGCACATTGAGACAAATCACATTCAGCACTTTACATTAATGTGAGCACTTAGCAAATATGATAATGAAATAGAATATGATGGAATACCTGAAGACGTGTAATATCACATTGTGCACCATCTGAAACAAAAACCTCTGAAGGTTTTATTCCAAAATCTTTGTAAAATGCAACGGTAATTGCCTTCCTCAAGGCCTGCAATGTCAATTTGGAAAAATATATACATATTATTACTTGAATGACATATTATAGTGATCTACTATAACACAAATGAGTAGATAAAAGATAAATTGCTAGACTCCAGGTTAATAGCATGTACTTCCAATACAGAAGCAACCTAAGAACTACATAATATATTGGGGCCAAACTCATACATGAACTTTTTTAAATGACAATTTTTGTTTTTGAGGCCCAAAATACCTTTTCACCTTGCTCAGGTCCATATCCTTTATAACCTGTTACTGTTGAAAGGCCACGCACGAACTGCAAAACACCATGTGAGTGCAACCAAATCAGGGACATCTCTCTTCTAGTTATCTCAATTCAAGAATTAACTCAAATCCTTTCTCTTTAAATATATTAAGCAAGAAGGGCTAAAGAGAATGGTTCAAATAACTTAACAAATACTTTATTGCTGATATTTCCAAATACTTTACTGGTATAATTAACATATGACATTATGGCTTGCATGGCTTATAATTTATATAAGAAAGAGT